TTAATCTCCAACATTTACAGGGAACTTATACAACTTAACAAAAGGAAGATAAACAATACAATCACAAAATGGGCAATTGACCTATGTAAATAGATACTTTCGAACATAAGGAAGGACATAAGGAAGGTCAAGAGACATGTGAAAACATGCTCAAAGTCACTAATTATCCGAGAGATGCAAATCAAAACGACAATGTGGTACCATCTCACACCTGTCAGAATGGCTATCATCAACAAATCAACAAATAACAAGTGCTGGCGAGGATGCGGAGAAAAAGACAAACAGCTTAAGAGTTTTTCATTTTAAAGAATAAAGAAAGATACATTTTCTTGCTCTCTTTGAAAAGTTGAGGAAGCACATTTGACCCAGTGATCCCACTTCTAGGAATATATCCCAAGAAACTAGAAACACCAATCAGAAAGGATATATGCACCCCTATGTTCATAGCAGCACAATTTACCATAGTGAAGGTTTGAAACAGCCTAAGTGCCCATCAGTAGATGAGCGGATTAAAAAACTGTGATACATTTACACTATGGAATACTATGCTGCGGTAAAAAAAGGAGTTCTTACCATTTGCAACAGCATGGATGGAACTGGAGAGCATTATGCTAAGTGAAATAAGCCAGCAGAGAAAGATAAATATCACATGATCTCACTCATTTATAGAATATAATGAACAACATAAACTGATGAACAAAAACAGATCCAGAGACAGAGAAACTTCGATCAGGCCGTCAAACCTCAGAGGGAAGTTAGGGGAGGGTGGGGTTAAGGGGGAGAGATCAACCAAGGGGGGGGGGTAATGGAGCAATTGGGGGATAAGAACATATATGTAATACCTTAATAAAGAGGAAAAAAAGGCTTTATTCTTGAATCTGTGCATTAATAACAAAGATGAGTAAAAAAAAGAGTTAAGAAACAATCAACTATAGCGTAACTCAAGTCATGACTAAGGTCATTCTTCTAAAACAGCGGCCGCCAACCTTTCAGACCTCACGGACCACCAGTTGGTGACTGCTGTTCTAAAACATGTATAGAAAAAAATGGGAGCGGAAAAGCAGATAGGAAAGAGGGGGAAGAAAAGGGAAGAAGAGAAGGAACACTGCCATACCTTGACCTCAAACCAATTAAACACGATACATGAAATGAAATGGTATTTCTGTGTTAGACTGCTCACCTTGTACTATTAGCTAAGCTTTAGTTTTATGTTCTTTATCTGTCATATAGCTTATGCCAATGGTATACATGTGCATTAACTGAAATGGCAAGGGTATTGCCAAGTGTGTGATCTGGGCACTGTAAGTTACTAAGAGACAGAACTCACAGTTGATTCCTCTTTAATGTCATAACATCTTGGGTGTGGAAGAGAGTGGGGAATAGGAAAACTTCAGCTAATGGATACAAGGTTTCTTTTTAGAGTAATGAAAATATTCTAAAATCCTATCATGGTAATGCTTACACAACTCCATAAATATACTAAAAATCACTGAAATCTATACTTTAAATGGATTAATCTTATCGCATGTAAATTACATCTCAATAAAGCTGTTTAAATAAATAAACCATTCCATAATATGAAGACAGGATCTCTAAATCACTCTCTAAAAACCATGTATGAAAATTATAACTCATTTAATAAGCCAGAAACATATTTTTAACCATTTTTACATTTCAAATTGATGTCTGATAGAACTTAAAGTTCCTCAGTTTATTATAAATGTCGTTAATGTGAGATAATAGGGTTTTTTTTCCAAAATGTAGGAATTATATACATTTGACAAATTCAAAGTAAGTAAAGCTAAATAAGGCATATCTTACTTTGTTCATAACCATAATTAATTCTTTGTGATAGTATTACAAATAGAATCCTACAAGATGTAAGCATTGTTTTGAATTTAGAACATTAGTCTTAGTCAAATATCAGATCAAAAAAACTTACTCATAAAGTATTTTGTTACCTTATGAGAGTAGGATTACATAGTACATAACATACTATTGTATTCAGGTTTTAAATGCCATAAGTACTATGATACAAGTAATTCCTTTTAATATTATATATTCCAATGGTTTCCATAATAAAAATTATTATTAGTATTTCATAGCATATCTCTTTCTGTTTGTATACTTTTAATCTATCTAGAATTTATATTAAAAGTGTATCTCTCAAACCCAAAATGAGAAACTTCTATTAAAAGATGGAGATATATTGCCCTAGCTGGTTTGGCTCACTGGATAGAGCGTCGGGCTGGGGACTGAAGGGTCCCAGGTTCGATTCCGGTCAAGGGCATGTACCTTGGTTGCAGGCACATTCCCAGTAGGGGGTGTGCAGGAGGCAGCTGATCGATGCTTCTCCTCTCTCATCGTTTCTGTTTCTAACTCTCTATCTCTCTCCCTTCCTCTCTGTAAAAAATCAATAAAATATATTTAAAAAATAAAATAAAAAAAAAGATGGAGATATATTCTTCAAAATGCCACTGGTAAAAAAAAGTAAAGAAAGGCAATGGAAATGTTCAAGCTTAAATTAAACTAAAGAGACATGAAAAGTAAATGCAATATCTAACCTTAGACTGGACTGTCTACTGAAGAAGAAAAAAAAAACTGAAATAAGCCAATCAGAGAAAGACAAGAACCATATGATTACAATTATATGTTGAATCTAATGAACAAAATACACTAACAAACAAAACAGAAACTAACTCATAGATACAGAGAATAGACTGACAGCTGTCAGAGGAGAGGGAGATTGGAGGGCTGGGTGAAAAAGGCAAAGGGATTAAGGAAAAAACAAAACAAAACACTAACACATAGATTTAGACAACAGTACAGTGAGTATCAAAGGGGAAGGGGGTGATACAGAAAAGAGTAAAGAGTAAAGAGGGGGGGGGAATGGTGAAAGAAGGAGACTTGACTTAGGATGGGGAATACACAATACAATATACAGATGATGTATTATAGAATTGTACATCTGAAACCTACATAATTTTATTAACCAATGTCACCCCAATAAATTCAAGTTAAAAAATGCCAAGCAAATCATTATTGGGTCAACTAACAAAACTAGAATATACACATTCTGACAACTTACAGTCAAACTGTTCAAAGAAAAAAATTTGTGTACGTACCTAACTACATATGTACATAGACAAAACAATTGATAATGTAACAAAATGTTAACAATACTTGAATCAGAATAAAAAGGTATATGGATGCCTACTGTATTATTCTTATTGTTACAACCTTTCTAAAAGTTTGAAATTATTTAAAAATTTAAAAGTAATAAAGTGACATGAAATGCACTACATAAATATCATGATTGAGTCTTATTTTTTTGTTGTTATTGTTGTTCTTACTGTTTTTAAACCATATGATAAACTCTGCTTTTTAATTGAAGTGGTTAGCTCATTTACATTTAACATAATTATTTATATGATTGGTATAAGTCTAACATCTTTGCTATTTGTTTCCTATTCATCCTACCTTTGCTTTGTTCTTTGATTGATTTATTATTTTAATCCTCATCTGAGGATATTTTTCCATTGATTTTTAAAGAGAGTTGAAGAGAGAGGGAAAGACAGAGAGAAACATCAATGTGAGAGAAACACATCAATTGGTTGTCTCCTGTATGAGCCCGACCAGGGCCCGGGCCGGAGAGGAGCCTGCAACCGAGGTACATGCCCTTGACTGGAATCGTGCCCAGGACCCTTCGGTCCGCAGGCCAACGCTCTATCCACTGAGCAAAACCATCTAGGGCTTCCTTTATTTTTTATTCTTCCTCTCCTGCTTTCTTTTGGATTACTCAAATATTTATTCACTATTCAATTTTTTCCTTTACTAACTTTTTACCTATACATCTATTTTACAATTTTAGTTTTGTTCTAGGGCCTAACTTAACACAACTTACTTTAAGCATTATACCTCAGATTAGCAAACCTCCGACAGGCAAACTAATTTATGAAAAATTAAATAACCAGCTTCTTAACAATAAAGATATTTTATTCAATACAAAAATATTCGCCAAGTACCTACTATGGGCATACAGTAATTGACAGAGTGGCAAAAAGAACTCAGAGAATATAGTTGCAATCCATATTCTTTCTACAACACCATCAATAAAGCACACAGACTTAAGCCAAAAAAATGTCTAATGAATGAATAACCAAGAATTAATCATTCAACCCACCAGGAACATGTATATAGTGTCAAAAATAACTACAATTTCCCTTCATGATTTATTTAGTCCTGTAAGACTCCTATTTGCCATGCAAGTAATTTCATTCCTACACAGTTATATTTTTCAATTCCCTACATATTCTTAATTTTTTTCCATATTAGTAGGTACTGCTCAACCAAGACATTTCTATTTAATGATGTCAAATTTGTTTCAGCTGACTCTTAATTGTATTTCAAATTTTCAGCTGGCCAAATCAAATCTGTTTTCCTGAAGCATGGAGAGAAAATATAATAAAATTTCTAAATACCATCTCTGCAGCATCATACCAAACAGTAATATCATTTCTCCAATCTTAACCAAATCAATCAAAATGATACATTTATACTTATAGATTCATTCTCATCTCAAAATAAGCTCTTGACCTGTCATTTACCCTAATATATACAAGAATTAACTGTAGGAAAATCGTCATAAACTTAAGCTATATATAAGTTTATAAAATAGTGTTTAAGAACATTTTTATACTGATTACTTTGACATATGACTAATTCCAGTGAAGTAAAGTACCTTTCAACAAAAATCCAAATACTGCACCATCCTTGATTACTAGGTAATGGCATCTTCTCATTTTAAAGTCTAGTAAAAGAAGTTTGTTAAAAGATCTCTGAAGATGATAGAAGTTCATGAGATCAACAGCATCATCTTCAGACAGAAACATTCCTGTCTCACTGCTTATGACTAAGGGAAGGTTTTAGGTTGCTGATTTGTGTGTTGTGGTCTTAACCTGTTACTCTGACGAGGCGGCAGCCTTTGTAAAAGGACTTACCTGGAGGACATCCTGGATCTTCACCCACACATCTGCCATGTCGTACAGTTTGACATCTTCCTGCTGAGGCAGTGGGGCCACGACGGTGTCCTGCAGGTATCCCAGGACCACAGAGTGTGCAGTGGCTACAGCATTAAACTTGTCAAACAGCAACTCCAGCAGCTCCAGAAGTAACCTAGCCAAGAAATCAAACAAGTAAATAACATTAAAACATATATACCAAAGAGGGTTACACTGGCCTGCAAGAAAACCGACAAACTAGTGACAATGTAAACAGCACATTTCAGCAGGTTTGATTTCAAACAGCTGTATGATCTAAGAAACTTGAAAACATATCTAAGCCTGTTTTCTCTACTATAAAAAAGAAATAATGTAAAAATTTAAAAACCAACTGTCAGGTCCCTAAACCAGCAGTAGCAGCTCCATAAACATTTGTTTCATTTTGAACATATTTTAGTGATTACAACAGTACTGCTCTGTATTCTTATAAGCAGTTTCTCCAAGGAATTCAGGTACTTTTTCAGCCAGTTCAGATGTCACACGGAATATGCTATTCCCTAGCAATAAATTGGGCGCTTTGGTAAGGATACTAATCCTTTCAGACGTGGAAAGCTGTGCTTACTACCATTCAAATGCATGGTGTAAGTTGCCTGAAAAAAAATACACACCTGCCAAGCAATCTGACTTTCACCACAGGGAGCAGCTTATTCATCCGCATTATCTCATTTTTCATGGTGAGAAATGCTGGACACATATTATTAAATCAATTTTATATACTCAAGGACACAAAATGGGGTTGCAAGGCAGCTGGGACTAGAACAAACATTGATTTCCACGTCAGTGCATCTGCCACCTACCTCTGACTCTAGTTCTAGAACGCAGATGTCTGTTCAGGGACAGGGCGGAGCTTTGTGCATGTAAGCAAAGGGATTCCTCTACCACTAAGACTCACAGCTTCACTGACCACATGGGCTGGGAATTTTTCCTCCTCTCAACTTGTATATCATTGTATCCCACTTCTAAGGAACTTAACCAAGTGTGGCTCCCATATATGACCCAAACAATGCGGTTCCCATTCATTTATACACAGACACTCTACCTCCCTGCTCCACTGTTAGTCTTCCAGTGTGGGCACTGCTTTATACATCTCTGTATACTTAGCAGGGATCAGCAAATTGTGCTGAATGAATTCAATGTGTATACCATGAAAATCTGGAATATACTTATTGCATATTGTGTGGCTCTCAGTTCATAGTTCCTAAATAGATTTATAAACCAACCTGGAAAGGAGAAAAGGAAAGCAAAAGAGCTTGTCAGCAGGGTCAATTAATAAGATCCCATTACCATAAATAAGAGGTTATGGCTACAATCTCATCAAAACATACAGCATATTATCTATTCCTCTGGCTTCTTTACTGCCCAATTATTATAATTAATGTGCCAATGTGATGGCCAATAACTGTCTTATGATAAAACCCTAACATGCATTTGACATTTTAATTTAGATGAGACAGAATCAATAAAAATTTATGTACTACTCCCAATCTAGAATATACATAATACAGAATTTATACACTGTATTTGTAAATAAGGGCCATCCTATCTTTTGAATGGTGATTTTTAAAATCTTTTAAAGGTCAATTCACATTTACACACACATATATCTAAAACAATTATTCTTTCTCATCTGTGCTATCAACAGAGAAAGGGACAAAGTACAGAAGATTGTCTAACTTAGCCAAAATAGTTCATTAAGTGTAAGACATAATCTGTATAAAACTGGTATCTGGCATGACACAGAATAAGTACTTGATTAAGGGATGGTCCACTTTTCAAATAAAGATTTATGCCGACTATGTAAGCCTGTGGTTCCCAAATATCAATCCACAGACCATAATGTATTTTTCAGTACGTATAACAAAATAAGGAAAATAGGACCATATATTGACTTTTCACAAAGGTAAATATATTTAATTTGATATTTTTTATACTCTCCTGACAGGAAAATCTGGTCCTTTCTCTCAAATGTCCCTACTTGACAAAATTAAAACTTAATGACCTTATGTTAACCTCCAACATTTTTGGAAATCATACTGATCCATGACATTCAGACACCAGCGGCACTGGCATCCACCTTCCCAATGGCATGAAGGCCTAGGCATAAGCCTGCAGAGCAGCAATGAAGCAGAAGCACTGAAGAGAAGGGCCTCTCTGAAAGGAAGGCGCTGCTGCCTGGCTCTGTCCAGGGCCACAAGCTCGTGGCTGCACACCATGGCTGCCACTCAAGCACAAGGCCAACTCAGCCACCAGGGGCAGTGCTCTGTGTGGAAGAGACCTAGCAGGGAAGTGAGGTGAAAAGTGAGATCCATAGTGTCTATGAACATCACAGAAGCAGCAATCCCTTGATAGAATGCTGACAAGTGCCAGCTCTGTCACTCCTGAGGGATCAAGGCCAAGACAGACCATCACAGCACGGGAACACTGCATGGGGAAGAGTAAGGGGGAAGAGACAGGTGAAGGGGTGAGCTGCCACCTGTACATCTGCCTCCTCAGAAACATCCAGCCACTTCAAAGAGAGGGACGCTCTCCTCTGCCTTATTATCACACAATCAAGGCAACAGTAATAAAACCTGTGGCTCCAACAACAAAATTAGAAACGTTTGTGCTACAAACAATACCCTCGAGAAAGTAAAAGACAACCCACAGAATGGGAGAAAATATTTGCAAAGCACGTATCTGATAAAGGATTTGTATTTAGAATATCTAAGGAATTCTTACAACTTTTAATAAAAAGACAAATAATCAAACTTAAAAATGGACAGCGCATTTGTATCTATCTTCTCAAAAAAAATATATGATCAATGAACAAACAAAAAGATGTTCAACATCATTAGCCATCCTATCTAATAAGAGTGCTATGCAAATTAACCGTCATTCCAACACAAATATGGCAGCGCCCATAGCCACAAGATGGTGGCGCCCAGTCCTCTCAGCCCCGCTGGAGTCCTCCAGTCCCAGGGGGCAGCTGCTGAGAGCAGGGCCTACTTGGCCGTCGCCCGCGGCAACCCAGGAGCGGCCAAGTGGGCCCGCAGACAGCAGAGAACCATGGGAAGCGGGCCTAAGCTGTCAGTAGGACATCCCCTGAGGGCTCCCGGATTGGAGAGGTTGCAGGTCGGGCTGAGGGACCCCTCCTCAACCCCCCGTGCAAAAATTTCATGCACCAGGCCTCTAGTCCTATATAATAAAGAGCTAATATGCTAATTAGACCGGACAGCAGAATGACCAGTGGGTGGGGCCACGGGGCTGCAAGGCAGCCTAGGCCAGGGCTGTGAAGGCCTACTCTTGCAAATTTCGTGCATCGGGCCTCTAGTTTGGCTATAAAAGGAAATGAAGTATAGACACATGCTACAACATGGATGAACCTTAAAATATGCTGTGAAAAAACTCACAGAAAACTACATATTGTATAATTATATTTATGTAAAGTATCCAGAATGGGCAAATTTATAGAGACAGAAAATACATGAGTGGTTACTTAGGTGGGTGAGAACTGACTGCCAAACCATATGGGATTTGTTTTGGGTGGGGAGACAAAAGTGTTCCAGAACTAGACAGTGGTGATAGTTGCACAATCCTGTGAATAACCTGAAAACCACCGAATTGCATACTTTCAGTGAATTGTATAGCAGGTGAATTATACCTCAATATATCTCATTTTTAAAAACCATCAGTGAGGACAGTGAGGGTCCTACACCCTCCCCCGCTGCAGTGAAAGGAAAATACATGGAACAGTGGAGAACAGAATCCATCCGATGCCTCAAAAAGTGAAGCACAGTGAAAGCTGACCCCTTCAGATTCCCACTACCTTGGGATACTGGGCAGTCCTCCTTAAGTTCGCTTGGTTTTTGTTTGTTTTTCCTCCTAATGTAAGTAATCTGTAAGAAACAAAAGATTCACATTCTTTCCCAGGATTGATCACTCCTAACCCTTTAATTATGAAACAAAACCTCTCAACTTCTCCAAGGGTTCCATCTGTAAAACCCAAGTATTAATTAATACCTGTTCCAGGAGCCTCACAGAACTGCTAGAAGGATCAAAGCAGAAAATGAATAGAACTAGTCAAGGTGAGAGGCTACAATATTACAGAGAGGGAGCCAGCATCCCTCTGCCTGGGTTTCTGGCTTAAGCAACTCGGGAAGACGAGAGAGAGAGAGAGAGAGAGAGAGAAAATATGAGAATGAATTAGGATAGAAATTTGGAAGGAGTGATGTTGGGCTTAAATCTGGATATGTTACATTTAATATGTTATGTAATTAGGTACTTGGATAGGCAAGTCCAGAGCTCAGGAGAGAGACTAATATTGGAAATTTAAAAAGCGAGAAATATTTGAAAGAATGAGATCACACAGGGACAAGGTGCAGAGTAAGAAAAAAGAAAAGCAAGGTCCAGAGCCAGCAGTCCTGAAACAGCAGCACTGGGAAGGCGGTTATGAAGTAGCTGGGGAGGAGGAAGCCAGGAAAGAAAATGTTAGAGGACAAAGGAGAAGAGAGTGCCACAGCAGAGTCAAAGGCTACCGAAGGCAGGTAAGGTAAAGAGAGATGGTGACAACCCACCATTCCCAGCGACCTCGGCAAAGGGGTTTCAGAGCAGCACTGGGAGCTCAACTCAGCAGAGGGCAAGTGAATGGCCGACAATAAAAAGAAACCAAACTCAAGCACACACTTCGCAGCCAGCATATGCTCCTTAAAGAAGAAAGAGAGAAAGTAAGAAGACTCCCCCGATGCATCAAAGAGCGAGAGAGATTAGGACTCATTCACACAAACTGAACATGAATCTGCACTAGTCTGGCCCTATGTAAAGCTACTGGAAATGCACAGAAATATGTTGTTAATATCCATATACATTCGAATGCCCATACAAAGCCAGACTGAGAAAACATGGGTTTACTTTTCGCTGCAAACACTCAGGACGAACTAAAAACACAGAACCCTATGAAAATCATTCCCTGCACCACTACCACCACAAAATATTAAGCAAATAAAAGAAGAAATAAAACATTACAGTGCAGTTAGCTCAGTTGCTTAAGTCCTGTTAGGTTCAAGGTTTTCACCACTGATCTAAAAGACAATAGAGCAAGCAGAATCATTAAATTACTGGATAAATCCTTAAAGTGAA